ACACCTGATGATTTTTACAGTCTGCTGACTTGAAATGCTTTATTTGAGGGCTGCACATTTCTGCATTGGGTACCTGGATATATGTCCCCAACATTCCCATTTGGGTGACTCAAACTGCAGTGCTTCAGCTAGTAAATGACTCGAAACGTTATCAGGTCAGGTGATGCTGCTGGCAAATGATGAGGCCAGCCTTTGAATTCCAGTGACAGTCGGGGAAAAAAATGTACAAACCCAGCAGAGTATATTGACCGGTGCTTTTTTCAACCTTAAACAGATCAAATCTGGCTAGATTAGACTCAAAGATTTAGCATGGCATCTGATGTACCTGCGGTTGCTTAAACCAAAAATAAATACATTAACGTGTAAGATGTGATATTTCAAAAACCTCAGCTGGTGATTCGGATAGATATAAATGTTGTTTTGATATGGTGAAAGTACCATTATGTAATTAATGAAAAAAAATAGAAAAAACAGTGACCTGTAACATATTGACGCACATGCCCATAAAAATATATCTCTCTATTTTGGAAATTGTTTTTGCTATGATTTTTTAAAAGTGATGAATTTTTTTATTTCAATTTTAATTGGGAAATTCTGGTATGGAATTTTTTTATTTCAATTTTAATCAGGAAATTCTGGTATGGTTTTTGTACATCAAGCCTTTTCAATATAATTTTATTTTCAAAAGCAAGTGTATAGTATTATATTCTAAAATTTGTAAAATATTACGGTTTTAAATCTAATATGTTGAAGAATTTCATCATAGAATCTTAAATTATATGTGCAGCATCAATATGAAAGAAAAAAAACATTCAAAACATACAATAAGAATATATCTAAATGTACATATATTGTTATTGTCTTAAGATTTCAAGTGGAGGGCTAGCATTTGTCCTTATCTCTGATGTTGGCTCTAAGCCTGGTTGCTTCTACCGGTACAAATTTAGCAGAAATGAGTGTGATAAGTATCACAGTCTTTGATGAATAGAGCGTGTGGGTGCATTTGCATTTAATAATTGTAACAGACAATAGTGAACATGACAAGACTTTACAGGGTCACTTGTCATATAATAAGTAAAATATCAGTTCACCAGTGGTGAATGATGTTTATTTACAGCAAGGAGCTGTTAAAAAAAACTTCCAGATACTCAGTTTTCTGAAAGTTTGTACCTAAATTTAATTAGATGCTTCATCAACTCACAGTCCTATATAAATCTTGGAGGTTTTTATTTATTTAATTTAAATTTGAACAAATGCACATGCAGAAAAAGAGGAACATTTTTCCAAGTGTCCTGTATGCTTTTACCTCACATAAATGGAGCTTTTAAAACATATAATCAGTATGGCTGCATGTGCTTGCTGTCCTAGACACGGCAGATGTAGAAGGGCAGATATATCTTCAGATTTGCAGTCATCCTTCTGTGCACTGATTGTATTGTTTTAGTCAGGGTCATGCCCTGTCTGGAATACAAATTGCATATTGTGCAGCAACATCAAACAAGAAATGGATTCTGTGTGACATAGAATGACTTTGTACCTTTTACCCGAACTTTTATCTTTTAAATAATGATATAATACAGGTGATTTGTCTGAAAGGAGGTGCAAGCATATATATTGAGTTCTTCTCTGCTATATAGGAAACCCATATAAGATCTATCTAGACTGCAGAAAAAGGGGGATAATTTGTATTTTGTGCTAGATCTTCAATGGCATGCTATTCTACTAACCTTCTTTTTCTGATTGAGAAAGACTGAGAGAGAAAATAGTCATTTAAGAAAGAGTTATGTTTCACGTCTTGTGAAATGGAAGCTGTCTCCATAACTACATTTCCTACATTAAGAAAAGAGGGCCAGAAAATCACTAAATAAATAAAATATTTGTATAAACCATGACAAATAAAATATTTGTATAAACCATGACAAAGTCCAGGGATTTATGCTATGTGGCATGAAACAATGTAAACTTTGCTAAAATTCTCACTCATAAAAAACAAAAAATATTTATGGTTGAAAAGGTTCCAGGAATACTGATGTCATCATGGTACCATGACTAGTATTTTTCCCCCTGGAAGCAAGTTGTAGTATAGTATACTCTCACTTGATGAAGATGCAAATTCAAATTTTTTCAGGGTATTTTTATGCCCCTCTTAATACTTGTGGTTAGTGAGTAAACCTCTTGAGGTTTATTGGTATTGTTTAAAGAAATAATAATTGTTTACTGTGTCAGGCTCTGGGGTTCCCCAGTAGATTGCACATGAATCATTTCTTAAAGCTGGAGGATAATGGGATACCTTTATCATCCCCCTGGCATCAATAAAAAAAGCCGTTGAAAATTAAATTGATTGTTAAGTCTTTAATTTCTCCCCAGGCCAGTGTTTGCTTATGTATGAAGAAAAAGTAGTAAAGAGAGGCCGATGGTTCATAATGTTTATTATAAAGTATTACAAGCAGTGCATTAAGCAGTTTAACATAAACTTGCCTTAAGTAATGAAACATAAACTGAATAAATTATCTTCAAAGAAATAAAAGAAGATATTTTAACATGAATTAACGTAAGTGTGACACATTTTGCACAAATAGCGCAAGTCCTGTAGATAAAGATAGAACAGATTTATGTAGGTGTTCCCTATATTTCTGAATGCATTTTGATGTTTAATCAATGCAGGTGAATGCCCCTGGCTGGTCTCCCAATGCTATTCCCTTTTAGCATTACACTGACCGAAGTTAAAATAATTTTTTCATTAAGATCTGGCTTAGGTGGAGGTGCAATGCTCCCAGTGTTCTCAGAGTATTGCACCTCCCAATGTACTGCCAATGTTCTCAGAAAACCAACCAAATTTTAATACTATCCATAAAAAAATTAAGATTACCACAAAGCAAATTATTTAGATCAAGTTATTAAAAATAATGCATATGGAAATAACTGTTTAAAATCTAAAAACTGAAAAGAAAAATTACAATTAATGAACAGAATTGTGTATGAATCTACCAATCAGAGATGTTAGTTTTGTCAGTAGGGGTATGCTTGCAGTTTATAGAATATTCTGGGGAAATGAAGTGTAGCTGTAATATAAACATTGGATTCTTTACATTCCCAACAGAATATAAAGTTCTTTAATTTAATTCTGATATAAATAACAAAAAATATATTGTGCAATTTTTTAACTTTGTACTGAAGAAAATTGTAGGCTCCACAAGATTTTTGAAACCACAAGATTGTCCAATATAGATTTAAATTTAAATGTTGTTTTGTTCATTACAACATCTTTTATTTGCATGATTGCCATTTGATCTTGCTGTAAGATCAAATGTTAATTTTTGTTATCCACAGGGCATAAATTCACTTCAGTTAACATCCATTTGACATTGTGCATGTGGTCTTTTTATTACTATGAGCAGACATTTGTTGTTTTTATCTTGTAATTGCAGAGTACCGTGTTGTCATTGGTGTGTACTGGTCCTTTTCCTGAGTTTTGGAACTGGAAATTCATTGTAGGGATTACCACTTTTAAGGATTGCTGCCATTCCCACAAAATCTCTTATCATTGCTGAATATCCCTTGCTATTTTTTAAAGTTTTCTGTAAGTGGGTGTGGAATAATGGAGTTTGATGGGTTCAAAAGAAGAAAATATTTTATATTTGAAAGCTCAGTATATGTCTGGAATATTGTCTCAAAAAGCAGTACACAAATAACACAAATTAAATTGGTGAATATATACAGTTGTGCAAAAGATTTCAGAACTTGAAGATAAAACAAACAGAAGAATATCCATGGATAAATTATTTCAGCTTTCGTTCATTGCTCCACCTCACTCCTCTGCCATTATTTTTACACAAAGGCATAAGATATTAGACTTGAATGATCTCAGATGATTTCCATTGTAAGTAAAATTTGATTTTGCTTTATTCAAAGTTCTCACCCTGAAAATATGTTTTGAGTTTCACACTTTTCAAAAGCTGAATTTTTGCATGAAACCCGAAAATCAGTCAGCTGTTGCCACATTACCTGGCCAGAAACCTCCTTAAAATGTATGTTGGTAAATAAATGTGTCTGCTGTAACTGTGCTGGATTTGCGTCAAAGTTTCCTGACTTATAGTCTAATGACATGTACAATGTACTTAACATGACAGGGGACTGATAACACTGCAGAGACAATGAATGCTGCATGGATAAGTGCACTCCAGCAGCACGTAAGACAATATTTCACACGCACCATTACAACAGTGGAATAAATGTTGAGTGTTATTGTCTGGGGCTTATGACCAATACTGCTGCACCATCTCTTCCTTACATATGTAGTGTTGATTGGAGAGAGTATTGAAGTCAGTCATGTAAAGATGCAAGGGTAATTTTGATTAAGGATAGCTTTAAGGCAAGATGCTTAAAGCCGTATAAGTGTATCATGTACACATATCCGATTGTTGCAGTTAATATTTCCCAAAAAATTTTTAACCCTAATTTCTTCAGTGAATTTGTAATCTTGTATTACTAATAAGTGACATTTTAGAATCCTGATAATTCCAAAATTTAAGATGTCTAAAGTGATGGTTGAGGAAGCATTACTCATCCAATTTTGGTATGTTTTGAAAGGAACTTAACAGCAAGCATTACTGTTTTGAAATAAAAAAAGCTTGCTCAACTGTATCTGTAGTATTTGAAATTGGAATTGCAGGTATTGCTACTTATACAAGTTGTTATGTGATTTTGATGCATTTTATACTCCTTTATTGCAGAGTTGGCATCCGTGAATGGCTCAAAAGAATATTAATGGAACGGTAATGTCTGTATCCGTCTTAGCTTCTGTGGGAAGAAGGAGAAATCCGCGACGCATCATTTCTGAGTGTTATTACTTCCTATTTAGTCATCTGAATGACAAGATATTTTTTAGCAAATTTTCTTGCTGGTGCTGAAAAAATTTTCAAAGTAAATTTTACTTTTGGAACTCATTTGTTTTTGGTTTTTTAATGATGTTGCAAAAAAAATCAAAACAAGAAAACTGATCATTTTCAGATATATTATTATTCCATTTGATCTAATATTAATAATCATACTTGAACAAGTACAGGAATTATACATGCATTATATATACATATGTATAAAATGTAAAATGTTAAATTTCTTGTACACAACAAAAATATGGATAAATCACATTTTTTCAGCATATATCAGAGAGATATCACAGTTCCACAGATTATATTGACTAGAAGAGAATGCATTTGGAACTTTTGGCTGAAATATGGAACTGCCAGTGTAGCAAATTATACCTACTAGACAAAAACTTTAAACTTCATACAGATATTCTAAACTATGAACAAGAATACATAGTACTTTACTTTGAGTGACAAGAAAGAAAGTGTTGGTTTTAAAAAAAAAACATTGACAATGAAGTTTCGATTGGTTCTGCTTAATTGTGACTGTGAATTAAACAATTTAAATTGCTTTCTCATTGTCTGAGATATGATCATCAACACCCATTGTTTCAAGCATATTGAAACTTCAGTTAAGTAAAGTTCTGAGCTGAAGAGTCACTATGTTCTATGCCAGCAAGGCCATTCATGTTTTCTACCACAATCCATTTTGCAAAGTATGTCCCCATTTGTGATTTTCTCTCTCATGTTCCCACTAATTACTTGCATGATAACCCCTCTTTCTTTCCCTAATTACTGTAGTTGTCAGAACCAGTGCCTTACTCAAGTTTGTACAGATGTTATCAGAAAGATCCCAGCTTCAGTAAAGAAGCAATTTACATACTAATACCAATTATGAATTAGAACTGTATGACCTTATGGTACAGTACATAAGTTGCTCTTATGAGTGTTAGAGGTGGGTGAGATAGTGACTCTATCCTCCCCATTTAATTAAAATATGTAAGATTGTTAACTTATAAGGATTCAATGACTTCTGCACAATTCAGAATTGGTACTATGTGTACATCTGATGAGAAACAGTGCATGATGGTGAAGGATTTGAAATTTCTACAATCTGAAACAATCACATTAAACTGTAACTTTTTTAAAAATAGCCTAGTAAAAATTCAAACTGATGTGAGAAAAGGAAGGCATAAAAGAGATCAGTTGCTTACTGTATCAGCCAACCTTAAACATATACCGCATATCTAAGACATATTGTCTAAACATCCAAAGCACCATAATTTTTACCATAGAAAACATTCCAACATTCACATGAGTGTTGTACAATTGTATTTTATTTTCTTAATTCAGGTTAATCCTATGGTTACCATATATTTCATACCTGGATCTGAAAAAAACTGGTTAAAACCAAAATAAATACATGGATGTGCGACTGCCCCTCCATATATCTATCTAAGCACTATAACAGTTCATATTTATACTTTGTAATGGTTGTAAGAAAAACATTAGGAATACAAGAGGTACTTATCAGCAACAGGCATCAGACTTTTCTGAATGCAACCTAGACAGTGCAGGCATTGTGTGCACAGATTCACTGTACGAACAAAACAGTTTTAGTGACTCATGATGAAGGTCGTAATAGCCAAGCGTCAGAGCTATGGACTTTTTTGCTATAAATGGCTTCCAAATTACAATATGAAGCATAAAGTAATTCTGATAAGAATCTGAGATTAGTCTGATACTTTGCCCACGACCTTAATACATGGGGTGCATATTCAGTCCCTATACTTAAAACTACAATTTAATTCAACCAAAAAATATATCCATATCAATTTGTAAAAAACATAACCCCCTTGTCGGAGTGAAAAAAAAAAACATTAGAGAGAACTTAGATAACTAGTAATTTGCCAGTCATTTCTGAATTTGAATGGCTGTATCTAGAGATGAATAAAGTATGCTGAAACTGAATGGTCCAGTTTAAACAGATTTGGACAAAGCAACACACTGAGATCATAGAATGAAAGCCCACTGGCCCTTGGATTGCAGGCCTTCAAAAACACAACTCAAAAACACCTTAATTACCATTGTCATTATTCCTCATCATTATGCTGTTATTCTTGCTGTATGATACTGCACTGTACAGTGCCTGAGTCATATCATAAGAACATACTTTTTCGCAAATCGCGATCTGGCCTATCCAATCGAAAGATGCCAGTAGGTGGTGGATGATGATGATGATGTGTTACAAGCCTTGGGATAGGTGGTGGCGGTCGCATCTCAGCAATACTATCATGACTTCTGGTTCTCATGTCTTTGGATAGTTTGCGACTAGCTTGCTTTTTACCTGGTGGCACCAAAATGAATTTTTGTGGCTGTTTTTGGGAAGATGGTGGAGACTGTTTTGTGGATTTCTTCACAAATCTTGAAAAGAAATGTGGAGCACTACTTTTGGATTTCTCAAACTTCTTAGGAGGCAGTGGTGGTGGTTGCTGCTTATCTTTTTGTTTGTCTATTCCAAGGAGCACAATTCCATTTGCTGTCACTTTGGATTCAACAACTGGCTGAGATTCTGAGGAATTCTGCCGAGAGAGATTCTTACTTCCTCCACTTTTGCTTCCAGTGCCTGAACTGTTCGTTTGTGATACTTTGTTCTTGGCATTGTATCTAGCTAGTGTTTCATAGTCTGGTTCTTCCCAGTACTGATCATCTGCCTTTACATTTGCAGGTAAAGGTGCAGGTGGACGAACTTTTGGGGGAGGCCCCCCTTCTCGCACATATACATAAATATCATCTATTTCCTCAAATATAAGATCTTCAGCTGAGGGTTTAGGTTCAGCTTTCTCTTCTTGAATCACATCAGGACTCTCTGGGGGAACATTGGTGGGAATGACATCTGGATTGGTTAATTCCTTGGGTTTGTAGACTGCAGATCCTGGTTCTATCTGCTGTTGTTGTTGTTGTTGCTGTTGCTGGTTTGACTGGAAATCTGTGATCTCTACAAGAACATGGATGCTGTTCAAGTAACTAGTTATCATGTTTGAGCACCTTTCATATAACTGCTTAAAGGCATCTTGCTGTTTGATTTTCTCAATGTTGGTTGCAGGTCTGAGCTTCAGTGATACTTTTGATAATGAGACAGGCAACATTTTCTGGCTTATATCCAGTGGCATAACAAAAGCAATGCTGTCTGTATCTGATGAGATCAAGCGCAGACATCCAGTAAATTTGAGCTTACTTCCACAGGGAGCCACTCCGTAAACTAGACGCACCATGATTGGTAAGCGGAATTTGGCAACGAGGTCATTGATCATGTGCACCCCAGAAATATTGTCCCTCTCAGCAATGGGGCTGAAGGCACCTTTTGTGTCAAAGTTCAAGTATACACCAGAGCCATTCTGATCAAAACAACGGAGGAGCTTAGCTCTACCTTTTCCTTTAGGCAGACTGATCATCACGTCTCCAGCCACAGTCAAAACCTCCCCTGCGTGCACAGTTCTAGTTTTATCCATGCATAGCTCTCCACGTTCATTGTTTATGTACCCCTTGGTATTGGCTCTTACCAGGGCTTTTTTGGGAAATCGTCTGGCCAAGTCTCTCACTGTGTCAAATGGTGGCACAGATCTCCCCTCTTCTGATAGCACCTCAAACCAGCCTTGATATGTACTAGGAATAGAAAAGTTCTGAGTCAAAACTGATACCTTTCTGTCCTTTACTTTGACTCCCTGGGCAAAAATCTTTGAGCAGGTTTTTGTAGAATGAAAGAGAAGCTCAGTGTGAATGCCTGGGTGGATGTGCTTTGATGCTCCAATGTTCATGAACTGTCCCTGTTCTACTCTGACTATATGTGGAGTCAGGTGCTTGCTGGTGAAGTCTTTGAGGTTAATGATTTCTTGGTCATCCCATTCTATGTTGGACATGGAGTATAATTCCTTGATCATGCACAGTTGTTGCTGTGAGGGACTTAAATTGTAACTCCCAGTGTTAGAGGCCATCATCCTGGTTGTACAGTTCTGATCTTGCTTTGTTTTGGTCTCTGCCGAGAGTCCCATACAACCGGCGGTAATGTCCGTTATACAGTCTTTAAGCTGCCTTTGTGCGAGCCAGAGTATTTATTTCCTTAGAATGGCTGGCATACTGGTTGGACGAGTTTTCACAATGAGGTCCTCGCAGCTTAGTCTTTGAGCGGAGTGTCTGTAAAGAGAAACTGTTTACAAAACAACCAATAACGAAATAAGCAAGATAAACACACTTCAAGTTTAAATCCTTCGGCTGTCTGTCGGCTAGTCTGTGAAAGGTGAAAGTTGTTATGTGCTTCCCCCTGTGCCTGGGTTATTACTGACCATGCAAATGAGTGTGCCCCATTTATATGTGCACACACCTGAATCACTTAGTAATAAATCACCTCAGTCACACGACAAGGGCTCCTACTATATGCTAACAAGTCAGCTTAACTGCTGCACTCTTTTAATGTTATGAATCACTAAAATAACATCAATATACTGGGAGGCCTACCTGTAACAGCTTTGGACTAAAGAGTCTGTTATTGTCCCCGTCTGTAGATCTGTGGAAAATTTGAAGGTCTGAAAAAATAAAGTGAGCAAATTAAAGCGATGAATGATTTTGTCTAGACAGTTTTTGTCTCCTCTCAGAACTCTTCAATGATAATTTTCAAAAGTCATGATTTTATTTCAGAATCCCCCAGGATACAGACTAATGTAATCAATTTCAATTTATTCCAGGATTTTACTGAAATTATATTTTGGATTCACCAGTTATCTGAAACAGAAACTGCCAATAAACACCTACAACCAAAAGCATTCAGTTAATAAATAGCTATTTTCAACTCTGTGCTGGCACTTTTTTAGGTCACCCTTGATGTCATAAATGTGCCATAATCTTTTGTATAAATGTTATTCTAGATCCCATTGAAAAGTCTGGGCGTAGGCTTGAAATTGACGGATTAAAGAGGTCTGTATGTTCTCTTGTGTTTACATTTCTCATAATGGGATTTGGGGACACAACTACAAAGGAAGGCTGGTCCATAAAATGAAAACATTTATAAACCAAAAGCTGTAATATTATGTGTAATGTTATTGATTATCATTAAGTGGATTGCCTTTATCTCACTCCCCCCCCCCCCTTTTACTTTATCTTTCATCTTCCATCAGTTGTTCATCAAGTTATCACCTTCATTCTTTTAAAATCAAACCTCCTTACTAACAATTTACAGTAATACCCATGTGTTCTGTATTCAAAACCTGAATTATGTCTAATCAGTGTTTAAAATCAAGAAGCCATTAGGGGGCTTTAATATACAGGTGTTGGTGAGAAACGCAGACCCAAGTCACTTGGTTGATTGTGTTGGAGAAGCCGGAGGTACTCCAGACAGCTTGTGAAATGTGTTACCATTTCCATGCAGTTTTAGTACAATGCTTTTGACAAATGAAGGGACAAAATTATTTCCCATGATAAAACTGTTTGTTTCTGTTTTGTAAATGGCACCTGTCTAATCTTTTCTTTATATTTTGGTGACTCAACATAAAAGTGCATATGAGTTATGGCATTTATTGATCTATTTTTCAGAGGTTTAGTTGAAAATAGTTTGTCTGACATAAAACCCCAAAAACGTATTATTTCCTTAGTATTTCAAACAGAAAGTTTGAATTCTCTTTGATTATCTGCTTTTCAGATCTTTTCAATGAATGTGTTCCAAGAAGCACCATCATGATTTTCCTTTAAAGCACAATTATAATTAGCCACTAAATCATGAATATTTCATACAAAGCTGTCAAATAACCTAAATAATTCACTATCAGAACCTGCAAGGAATTATCTATTTTTAATCTTATGCTTGTACAGACTTAATGAGGATATTAAGGCCATTGTTATGCAGGTAGAATAGTGCCACGTGTGCTGATAGGGCACAGATGCTACTAAGACCATGCTGGTTTATTGAAAAGGACCACTTGTAAGATTATGTTATCTTTAAATAATTTTTCCATTTCTTTTTTAAAAACAAATGATGTATGTTTATCCTTTTTGAAATATCGCCTCCTCATGAAAAATTAGTTTTTATTCTGTGGGAAAATGCAGGGAATGAATGCTTGTATCCAAAAGCCAAGTGCAGAAAAACTTGAATGAAAATATATTTGATATTTATAAGTCTCCAACATGCTTATGTGATTGAAATGGCTGGAACTGTAAATAGCATGTTGCATAAATGCATTATTTCAGATCTGAATTATGATAACATACAAAAGTCATAATGTGACATATCTTTGCATAACAGATATTTTCTTTACTGTATACCATGTTATAAAATCCTTCTTGATTTTGACTGAAATAATCTAACAGGTTCAGGGGCAGATCAAGAGATATTTGCTGAGAGTCTTCCAAATTATCTTTGTTGATCCATCCTCCATCTTTGACAGAAAAAATTAGATACCCATCAATGTAAACTTGAAAACCTGACCGTCTTCGAGAAGACCCTGAAGACGGCCTCAATCTACCCCTGCAGGTTGATGCATGTTAGCATATTTATGAATGCTCAACTTCAAGTCTGCAGCATATACCAAAGCTAGTGCATGTCGTATCAGTAACTATTCTATTATATAGCTGCTCTATATTATAAATATCAAGTGAATTTTAGTGCACATAATCAGCCTCTGGCACTCTTTTCCATTTCTATTATTCGCTGTTGTGTTCATAGTCAGTAAATCGTAAAAACACAAATGGGAGTGCTCTGGACAGATAAATCAGACTAGTTAGAAATATGGCTACATACTAGGTTATATCACTGCTTACTGATAATTTGTATACTCTACAGCCAAAATGATACTAAAATATTTGCACTTACTTTTACAGTACCAAATTTCCTTTCAGAAGCACCTCTTACAATATGACAGGCTGTGCATGGACAGAAATGAGCACCGATACTGGGCAATTCTTAAATATATATATGTATATTATTCCAGCGGGAGAACGTGTGGTACACATTGCAGTAATCCTACCACCTGTGGATTGTTAATCAAAGATAAATAGAACATAGTGTGCTGTAATGATAGCGTCTTTCAGGTGACATTTGTTAAAGAAAGGATATCCTTAATTACCTTTATCTGATTGCTTTCAGTGCTGACCAACCTTCTAATAACCCCCAACTGAGAGGGTGGACTCTTATCACAATAAGGTTCTCCCCTAGAATTTGTCTTTCTTATGAGCAACTGGCTAATTATAACTGTTGCAAGGACCATGTCTTGCTGTGATGGGAAATCTGTAGAAATCTGTATTAGGGAGATGAAAGCTAATGATTATATGATGGTCCTGCAGTTAGAATACTAAGCTGTTCTTCTACTCATGTGATCATTTCTAAAGCATATAAGTAAGTCAGTAGCCAGAGGCTATGACACTGGGCAGATGTGGTCTCTGACTATTTCTGTACTGTAGGTATTAAGTTCTTTTGTTAAAAATGATTTCTAATCTCCTTTCATCTGCATTTACAGAAATATGCGAAGAAGTTATGTAATTATTCAGCTACTATACTCCTGGATGGGGTCATTTTAATATATTCCCCTTCCCAAGGTTCACCATTAGAATTTGCAATGGGTAATAATATTTGTCTTACAACTATAATTACTTAAATATGAACTATATACACAGCCCACACTAACACATGTTTAAAGTTCAAGTTATTCATGATATTTTCAGAAAAAAGGGGTGGTGTCTATATCAAGCACTATAATTTTCAATTCATTTTCATGGCTTTAAAGATTGAAAGAAAAAATGGGTTTGTAGACAGCAGAGTACCAGCTGTTATTGTAGGAGAAATATCTTGTTTCCTGTCAACAGTGAAAATGTCAATGGGTTTGCCCTCTTCAGGACACTAAACACACAGACATCATATTTCAGCTTTAATTAAAACATGTAAAATAGGTAAAAGTCAATCTATAAAAAGTAATTACCATTTCTACAAGCTGACATTGATATTCTTTTCAAGATTTGAATTTTTCCTTTTGTCCTTTTTTTTTTTTTCCAAAAGAACAATGAAACATATTTAGTCAAATTAGTAACAGGCATCTCTCCCAAAACAATTATTATTTAATGGCATCAGCCTAATATTGGCTATCAAAGGAATGTTAGGATAAATACCTTTGATGTAATGCTTGAGTAACATATAAACAGAATGATTCATTGGACATAAATACTTTTCTCTCGTGAAAAGGCAGTGTATTTAAGAATGGATTTGTCGAAACTGCAATTAAGCTGTTTTCATGCTCATTTCCTACATGGGGAGCACACAAAAGATATCATAAACACCTTCTTAACATTTGACATTTTTCACAGACATTAACTTCTCTTGGTACGTGAAGGTGTTACAGGTGGTGACGATCATTAACTGTCACATTACCCTAACTCTTTGCTTGCCCATTGTTAAACATGCAGTTTCACAAAGAACACATTAAGTGGTTGAGTGCTTTTGAGGGTGGGGGTGCTTTTTCAACTTTCAAGACATAATTTATTAAACAGCATTTAATTAAAATGGCTACTAAGTTTTCGTCCAAAATGCTGATAGCTTGAAATGCTTTTGCAAAACATTCATACACCATTTGACAGAGAGAGANTAGGCGGTTTTTCTTTCATGTACGTCAGCCATTTTTAGGTCACCGGCTTTGTAAAGCCTGGCTTAATTCGTTGAGAATGCGCTCATAGGCCCAATGGCTTTAGGGAGGATTTGCATCTCTCTAGATCAGACTGTCCTGTGAACCCATACCTTACTAGAAGTTGTGAACCCAAATCACTGAACACATGATGGTATGAAAGGCACCTATGGTAAAAGCACATGTCTAACAACACGTGATGTCAAGGCTATGGTCAGAATGATCAATGACGAAGGTGACCGGTGGCCAGGGTGGGTCTGCTGACCAATTTGATGCATGTGTTGTACCGGTGATATTCAAATGTTAGTAAGAATCTCTTTCTGATCTGCTTAGATTGGCCAAAGTTAGGGTGACCGTTCAAAGCCCATCCCAACAATGAAATAAATCATAGTCTGTCTTTTTCCTTTCATTATAAATATTTAATTTTGTTTATTAGATTAAAGAAATATTCTTGCATGTGTCACATTTTACTAGTATGTGAATAATATGTTTAATTCTCTCTGTCATTATATATAAATGACTTACAGTAGGACAATTATTTACAAAAACTTTTGACATAATTTTAAGAAGATAAGTCTGTTTGAAGTCAGATATGTGAATTGAATATTATTTAAAATGCATGTTTCTGTAATTGGAAAATTATCCATTATGATTTTATACAGTTGTAGCACTACTCAAAATACTGTCATTTATTAATTTATGACACCCTTTTATTCAAATGTACACATTTGTTCCAACAGACACTGGTAAAATGTCAAAAATTACATTCAATTAAGCACAAAATTAGAAGATGACATTGGTTTCTTGATTTGTCAGATTGTTTATTATGCTGGAGAGAACACTTGTACATTGTTCATATCAGTATTTAAATGCGGTTTTAATGGACACATTTGACAGGGTATGCCTTACTTATATTTTTATTAAAAATATAACCCTCCTTTCTATTTCATTATTGTGTGCACAGGCGCATCAGCTGCTGTTTGAAATCACCATTATGGTAAATAGATGTGATTTGGATTGCATGATTTGAGGTTTTCACAGTTGCTTAATGCTGCTTTGTGGGCTATTTATAAAGCATTGGACAGGCCCCCTTCAAGGCTGCTACCCTACCCTGGATTCTCTTTCTGACCCAATACATTTTGTCCAAATTTTATTACAGATTCACCATATCATGTCATGTTTGGATGGGTTATTTCATATATGATATGACCAGGGTTGATGTTATCATGTAAGATAAAGTTGACATTTCACTAGTGCTGTCATTTATTTCCGACCACAAAATTATTTGTTTTTAAAAGTTTGAAGGACAATAGGTTTGCACTTGTTTTACTCGTTTTACAGAATTCATATGACACATATGATATGTGAGCAACTACAAATCTGACGATAAAAGAAAAAGCAGGAGAAATGACACCTCAGATGACACCTTTAGGATTGATTGACATGGATTATTTAGACGTTAACTGTACCTCATTAAATGGTTATTTTGAAGGTTGATTGTGAAACAATAGATAAAAGAGGGGTTTGCACTTGGTTAACATTGCTTGCACTCATGTACCAGACAGTGCAGGTGATAGCTTAGAGCAGCATTTTTATGTAAAACTTGTTACCAAGACAATTCATTTGAAAATGTCCTTAGTATTTTTAAGTTTAATCTATGATGAAACTATGAATAGGGTCCAATTGAAGGATATTGTCAAAATAAAAAAATGAATTGTTAATCTGACTTCAAAAATTTTTTTGTCAACCATCAGTCATTCTGTCAAATGCCAAACTTTAAAATACCTGAATGATATATGTTTAAAAACATATTTTAAAACCACCCACTATAATTTTAAAGACAAGGTTCCAAATGAACTTATATTTTAAGCTATCATCTAAGTTTAAGTTGTCATTTACAATTTCACTGGAATATAGTTTTTACTCGAAATGGCGGGTTCAAAACTAAAAGAACATCATACACTCCATCCATCTTTTGACCTGTTTATGAAAATTCTGCATGCAGATATGACAATTAAATAAATTGACATATGAACATGCATCCCCCTCAATTCTTCCTTGAGCTACCAGCCTTTGAAATGATCAGTAAGTCCTGCAGGCTATTAAAGTCACTTAAAAGTTCATGTACCACTGCTACAGGACTTGCATAAACTGTGATAATTGTGCAACTGACATCAGTCTTACACAATGATGTATGGTCCTCTTGTGGGAGAGTTAAATGATGTCACCACAAGGGCAATATCCTTACCTTCCGATGCCGTTGTGTGATAAAAGTACATTATTGTGTCTGTAAACTTTGAATAGCATGTGAACCTGACTCAAATAAGAAAAAGACAACATATGTAATGCAGTGTTATGAGATGGTTGCCATCCCAGCAGAAGGTCATTTGTGTGAGTGGAGCCTGTCTGTATTAAGTGGAGCTGCTGCTGCTGCCTTTGTAATAATCTGATCACTACATTATGTCATGTAAACAAAATACATTGAATAAGATTGTGGTAGAAATGATATGCTGCATAGGAAATTGTATTGTAAAATATATGCATAGGTTGAAAATTATGTTAAATGAGGACCAGCATAGAAAAAAAGGTAAATGGAAAATTGTGATTAGTTTTTGCAGCAACTTTGTTCTATAACCAAGAGCATCATAAAGTACAATTCAGGCATTATCAATTTTGGATGCTGAGAATGAATTATAGAGCAAACCTTGTTCAGTATGTAAAGGACATATAAGTTCCTGACCCATGACGGATTGTCTGAGGACAAATGAATTAAGTCAAGTTCATCTCATCACTGACTTATTAAGATCTCTATGTTCAATACTCATTGCTGAGAGCAATATAGACATTAACAGCAGAGTGGTGGTCACCTCTCCATTGACCTCACCTTGACCAGTGTATGCCATCATTGGCTACCCATGAATATTGTAATGAAAAATGTTATAGGTATGGAGTTTATAATTACCCCAGTGTTCAGATCACTTATACTCACCATTGGCTTGTGACCACCTTAGCTCTTCTAATTACTTTTCTTGTAATTATGGGGTCTGTATTTTTGAGACTTTAATATATGATTAACCTGCAACATACCTGCTTGTTTAATTCACCTTGAACTTGAAGGAATCGGTGACTCTAGTTAAGTGTGCTTGAAGTACAATTTGGATATTTGTATTTCATGCTTGATTCTTAGCATCAGGTTTAATTATTGATATGATGATATGATACATTTTGTATGTTTTAGATTTAACATTTTATTTAACTTGGCTTATGTAAAGCATTATTTACCAGAATTTAAGCAAGATGGATGTTTTTCTTGATTCCCACCCACAATGTATTTGGA